TTCTTTTTAGTTTTTGAAGTTAATTTTCTTTTTATTTAAGTTTTAATTTTCTTATCCTTTTTTGTGATCACTGGTACTTGAATGTCGCCTAAATAGTTACATTAAAATCTTCAACCCCACTATTTTCCCACCTATAAAACTTGAAATATATACCTCTAAATTATAATCCTTTTTTAATAAAAGAAGAATCATTTAAATCAATTCAGCCGCTTCCGAGGTAGGTGTCAATATACACATCGGATATGGAACCTCTTCGATTTGTTAACTCGGATTTATAGTGAACCAACGATCTGCCCCGGCTTCACACGGCTGATTTTTTGATCTCGACAATATATGCATGCATTAAACATGTAAATCTTGCTCTTGAATCATTCTGTGTATTGGTGAAAACCTCAGCAAAATCCGTTGCGTAGTTTAGATTTTAGTAGTAGTTTAGTAAAGATTTAGGCTTACTGACTTTGTTTTACCTATACTATGTAGAGATGTGTATCAAAAAAAATATTGTGATCTGTGATAGTCCTAGTAAGAATAATAGGTAATGCTCATTATTTTTATTATATTGCCATCCATCGATTCCTAATACGTCTGTAAAATTTCAGATTATTCAGACGTCAAGAAGTAGGGAAAACTAAATAATAAAACTCCATTATCTTCATACATATATCCTCGTAGATGATGGCTTCATGTGCAGTAGTTGAGTTGCAGCGCTGAGGGTCTCGGATTCGAATCTTGCACGGGACAAGTGTTAATATAGCCTAGAAGTAATTGTTATGGGTAGCATAGCCTACAAATGGAAAGGCGTGCTAAGAGGCTTATTGGTGACCCGAATTTGGTTAAAACCAATCTTACCAGCCTCGAACATAGGCGCAAAGTAGCCAGCCTTTCGGTTTTCTACAGGATGCATTTCGGAGAGTTTACGCAGGAATTGCATAATTTAATTCCACCCTCTCTCTCACCATCGGACAACCAGACGTTCGCCCAGTCTCCACCCTTACGTTGTTGATTTACCATGCGTTGAACCAAACGGTTTAGTACGTCGTTCATCATGCGTACAGTAAAGGAGTGGAATAAGTTGCCAGCATCTGTGTTTCCATCCGATTACAGTGTGGGTGTCTTCAAGGCAGGAATGAATAGGCTTTTGTTTAGTCAGTTCAAGATCTTAGGCTGCATCGCCACTTACCATCAGGTGTGTTTGTTGTTAAGCGCTGGTTTAGAATAATAAAAAAAATTGTTCCTTGTCTGGATGATTTCTTTGTGCAATTTATGTAATAAGCTGCCTCCATGATACAGGGTGAAATTCTGGTGTGAAAGTGCCAACGATTTTTGAAAAAATAAATAATACTTAAATAGGCTACTACCGTACCGCTAAGCTACCATCGCTTTGTACACACAAAGCGACGGTAGCTTAATGGTACGGTAGACTGAAAATTCAAAAAGACGTTAAGTCTGAATCGGTGAACCAATCTGAACACAAGCATTTTGAAGCTAATTCAGAGTTGTTAACGAGAGTATTAGATTGTTAATAACGTTACTAGTATTATTTTATGTACATACATATCAAACAACTCGTAAAGTATTAGAGGCTCTTTTAAAAAATATTATATTTGTTTCATTTTAAAATAAATCGGTACGTAACTGCTTATCAAAAGTCTACTGCTGAACCTCCTCGTAGCCTGCCTTACAATGGTAATATTTGCCATAGTTGCCACGCTTGGCAGTTCGTTTAGCAGCCACCGTTTTTTTAAAGTTGTTATTAGGAAGAACTCTCTCTGACTGCTTATTGGTCTAGTGTTTGTAGTAGTGCGACTGCTGATCATGAGGTCCTGAGTTCGAATCCCGGGTCAGGCCAAAAATAATTATTTATTTCTTCCGTCAAGAAATACTAAGTAGCTGCTCGTAGTCAGGAAATTGGCAGCGTCTCACCCCCGTGCCGAGGATAGCACGTAAACCTATCTAGGTCCTGCGCCTGATCTCTCTCCGGTCGTGTCCGTTTACCGTCCCATCGGACTATGAGAGTGAGGGAATAGAGAGTGTACCCGTGCTTGCGCTTACAGTTGGGCACTATAATCCTGTCCTGCGTGAATAGCTAGTCTCTGTGGAGGCAGGCCGCCGAGGACATTATTATTAGGAAGAATGGTAGCAGGCCTGCTGTGCACTTTATTTAATTTACTTTAGCAACAGAAGCGGGTGCCGGGAGACTGGTGCTTCACATTAGAACTGTAAAAACTACCGTGGCATTTGCATCAGCTTGCTTAGCACAGTGGGAAACTGTTTGCTAAGATGTTGATTGAAAGAGTTACGAAAGAAACTGACGGAAGAAGTTTGGGATCTGCAAGCTGGGTGTAGAAATGATTTAGATGAGGTTTTAGATTTATTTACGGATTCAGTCTTTTCTACGCGCATGATCGCGGAGAAGTATTTAGCCAAAAAAAAAAAGGTTTTTGTGCGTTCACGAACATGGAAAAGGCTTAATAAAGAGTGGACATCTCTTTATTTGTTTTTCTCTGTCACCTCTTAGGACATCCACGGGACAATAATGAGGTAGTGGATGTTCTCACAGCGTCACTACACTGCCAATATTAATTATTACTTTAAAAATAATACTAGAACATTATTTGCAATGTTTTTTTTAAAGTAAGTTAAGTTATGACTAACAGCTGGCTAACGTATTATGTCGCTTATATATCAAATAATATTTTATTTAACTTCATTTGGAGTTGATTTTTCAATCGTCGGATAAAAGTTATCCGTCAAATATATTATAACCTGACTGTATATAAAAGTATAAAAATTTAACTATATTATATGGATATTCTTATAAACCACATGAGAGGCATCAGCTTTTAAATAAAAAAAGAATCATCAAAATCGGTTTACCTAGAAAGAAGTTAAAAGTCAAAAGGTAACTCACTTACAAAAATTTAATACCTCCTCTTTTTTTAAGTCGGTTAATAATTTCATGGCGGCAATTTCATATAAAATATTACATTTTAAGTAAGCACATATTTTTCTTTAATTTCTACTATAGAAGGCTTAATATATAATAATTTACCGCTTACCAAATGTCACTACTTGGAACTGAAGTGAAGTTTTTATATAGTATTATCATAAGTGAAAAGTTGCGATTTGAATAAAAGTTTTTTGGTATTTAGATACAAAACAATGCCTCCTTAATTTTTTGAATGAAAAATTATAGATATATATATTTTTAATTTGTTTATGTTGTATTTTATCCCATGAATAGGTTAAACGACAGTTTGTGGAATAAACAGGTAAAAATTGGAATATTCAATTTCCAGAAAATTTAGTATTTACACTTCAGACATATTTAAACAGAATGGTCCTTAATATACAAGCTGATATATTTTTCAAAGGAATCCTCTCTAAACTATTAACTACCATCTTTTACACTATAATATATTCTGCATATTAAAATGTACTAAGAATTGACCCTAAATCATTAAAACATGCAACACCCACTTATGCATTTGAAAAACTGTGTTCAGTAGTAATGCAGTCATAATAATAACAATGTCAATGCGCAAAATATTCAATGAATTCTTAACTGAAAAGTTTGTTAAAGCCAATTTCCACTTCGTAGCAATCTATCAAAATATTGAAAAATTTATGTGCTACATATGAAAGGAAAGCGAAGCTGCACTCAGGTGGCACTTTGGAGCTATGGTTATCGCAAATGAACTCATAAAAAATATTGAATGATGTTCGTTAGAGAAGAAGTAAACTTTTAACAAGCTGAAAAAAAATCAGTTATCCAATCTACTGTTTTAGATGTTGTTTTGCAATTCCAATTATGAATTGTGAATTTATAATGTACCTGATGGTGAGTGTCGACCGCCGCGAATGAACAACTGCAACACCAGGGGGAATTGCATATAATAAATAATTTACAAGTAAAATCTATTACCGTTTTATACGTCTAGCAATTGAAATACATACACAAGAAATAGAAATTATGAAAGGTACACAAGCGTACTGTTTATTTACTTAGCTACAACATTCTTAACATTGTGATCACAGTTGAGTCGTGACGATTCAGCTTACAGTGACTTTATATTTTTTTGTAAATTAATTAAAAACAATAGCTTATTGCAATATTTACTTATAAATAACAAACAATTGAAATATTCTATTACACATGAAAAACACAATTAAAAAGTGTACAATTTATTCTGCTAATTAAATAAAATTAAATGTATATAACTAAACTAATAATTATGCAATCATGAAAATGATTAAACATATAAAAGTAAGATGTATGGACGTGTCAAATAAATAAACTCAGTTTTGCTTTATCCAGCTTTAGGCGCACGTTTTAATGTGATATTTGCATATTTATCGCACTACGCAGTAAGAAAATTAAAGTTGCGCTTAGTTGTTCATTGTTTTCCTTCACCGAAAAGTATGTGTTGAATCAGTACATACATAAAATTTATACTACAATTGCACTAGTGCCGGCGGAGATTGCACCCGGATACAGAAAGGAACGGTAAAATATCAACACTTTCAACTATAAGTTCGATAAATGTTTGCAAAAGATAACTTCGAAAGATCCAGAACCAACACACATCTTAAATTTGTTTATTTACATAAATTACTAATGACCATATTTCTACTAACTAACACAATAATATCCCAGTAAATATTATCTTAAGGATCCTTAAATAGATTTGCAGGAAACACTTTCGAATATAATAATAATTTCTGTGATATCATTGTCGGACCAGACAGATATGTCAATTTCGTTTGACAGATGACATGTTTTATGACTCAGTGTACGTAGAATTTATATAATATAACTTATAACAAAAAAGGCTTACCAAAAAAAAAGTCAAAAAATTTACATGTTTCTTTGTACAAGACGCCACAAAATACAAATGCATTTGATTCAAATCAAGATGAGTAAAATGCGTTCTTCATTATTTTTTAAATATTTTCTTATTAAATTTTCTTATACTGTGCAAAATTTGCTTTTAAATCGACTAGACGTAAATCTCAACTTCAAAGTTAAGCGGATGATGTCTCTGGCTCTTCATCCTGACAGTCACATACGAGTATCCAACTCCTCCTTCAGTGATGTTGGCGCTGGCGTGGGAGAAATCGTTGTCGATAGCTGCTACACCCTGGGAACACAGATATTAAATGTCAGCAAATTGTATTTTTTCAACACTGCTTACGGCAAAGTAGACAGTAACTAGTAATAAAAGTTAGATAGGATTGAGAAAGGTATTGTTCGTAGTTGGTTTACAAATCCTATAGTGAAAGTATCTCTTTCCATAATTATAAAGGAGACGGAAGATGTTTTTTCATAGCTGCCTAGCTGATTGGGAACAATACATGTTTGTTTAATTATCTTGGAGACCTTATGTTCTGCAGTAGACAGTATTGTTCAGAATTTAACCACCAAATTTCACAATCGCACGCGCGTCAAAATTCACGATACCATCCACACCATCTGGATGCTTGGCGGTCCACCACTGTACGTTTTACTAGGAGTTTTCTTCCTCGTACGACCCCACTGTGGAATCGCTTACGACCGGCGATTTCCGGACCGATACGACTTAGGGACCTTCAAGAAAAGAACTTACTCTTATCTGATAGGCCGCCAACGCACCTTAAATTCCCCTGGTGTTGCAGTTGTTCATGGGCGGAGGTAGTTACTTACCATCAGGTGAGCCACATGCTCGTTTGCCGGCTCTTCTATAAAAAAAATTGAATCTACTCCAGTCGGTTAAAAAAGTGACCTTAACGTAAGATGCGTTAAGGTTACTTCTCTAATAACAGATATAATAAAGACTTATTTGCGACTAGCGACCCGCCCCAGCTTCACCTGGGTGGGATTTATTGAGATTTATTTAAATAACCATCATTGATCGTTACTTAAAAAAATCGCTTTTTTTATAATTTCTTTAATTTAGTTTTTACTTGTAGCAGTGCAGTGCTTAAGGTAAATAGAAAAAAAGTAATAGCATTTTTTTTTTTTTTCTCCCGTTCGCTTGCTCTCAGAGCACATTTTACAAATGGTTATTCGGGACACCCTCGAATTTTTAAACACTTCTTTTTTTTTTTTTTTTTCCGGTTCCCTTTTCCTTTTTATATTGATCAACGAGCACACAGTCCACCTGATGGTAAGTGGATGCTGTTGATGATGAACATTTATTCTCAATTAAGAATCATAATGCAAATGCGCTGTCACCCATGAGGACTAAGATGGAAGTAGGCAGTAAAAAAGCTAAAGCTAAGCTCCGGTTTTCTACACTCACCATACGAAACACAGCAGTAATACTATGAGAGCGTGGTCCTGCCCCGGTCGAGTCATTTTTCCTAAAGCAACAGTAGGTGGTAACACTCCTTCTACACCTCAGAGTCCGCCTGGGAAATTACCACACTCTTACCTATTTCTGCCGTCAAATGGCAGTACTTGCACTGCCGTGCAGAGCTATTATAATAACCTCCTGTGAGGCACTCCATCTTTTTCCTCCAGTACTATAGTACGTGAGTATATGAGTATATGTATGTATCCGGTAATATGGTCACTTTCTTATAACTCAAAAACTACAGCCTTGTTTGCGTAGAGGCCTCTGTGATACGATAGATCTTTATCAGTAAATCAAATAATAAAGGGTCAAAAAAGCGCTGCTTTATCGACGCCATTTTGACAAATGACATTACAGTAAATATTTTGTGTAGTGTCGTTAATTTTTATTGACTTGATTTTTCGAAGTGTTACTAATTATTGCCAAAGCTTGTTTGCTATTATTTTCTTAATATATTAGTTGTAGTATACGCATTTGTGTTTTTGTCTCTGCCCTCCTCCTAGTTTTGGTTTTATAGGGCGACAAAGTTTAAGGTGATCGTAGTACCCTCACGTAACATATTAATAAAGTAGCCTTCTTTTTTTTAAGGTTATCTGCAGGTGTCACAACTGCAGTAGCCACCATGTAAACTATAAGTTCATTCGTCACCACAGTTATATCAAAAAATATATGGGATTAAGATGCGGACAACGAAAGCAGGATAAAATTGCGGATTGCGAAACTAAAAAGTAATAATGCGCCATTCGACTGCTGTTGTGAGCCACTTTGATAAGTTGCTGTGTGCAAAGGTTTTTTTAATTAAAAAATAGACATTACGGCGCACGTCGGGCTAAAAGTTGCAGCTTTTTTTTTTTTTTTTTGCGGATGGAAAATCATCTAATGACCCCTTTCGCTCTGGGTGGAGCGTAAGGGAGTGTCAGACTTTTACTGACTAAAAACCATCCGTGTTCCTTTAGTGCCCTTACGTTCCGGAGCCGCGGTATCTCTTTCGAATAGCCCGCAGCCCCGGCAGGCGTCGGCCCGTGCGGGCCCCATCACGCTGCTGACAGCTCTTTGAGGCGCGCGTGGAACGACCTGTCGTCGTTAGACGGACGGACGACGAGCTACCCATTGATCGCCGTCCACAGGCCCGCGCCTACGGTGGCCGGGGGGCCACGACGTAGCCCCCGACGCCCGGGGCGTCTCCCGCGGCGGCCGGGGAGGAAAGCTGCTGCTCTTTCCTTCTCCCGCTCCGCCACCTCCTTCGCTAGCATCACTGCTTCGCAGAAGGTGGTGACGGCATCCCATTCCGTCTCGCTCCGGACCATGGCTTCGACCAGGGCCGGACGCGAGAGGTCGCCGCCGCCTATCGCCGCTACGAGGACACGGCGGTGCTCCGCCCAAGCAGGGCACACCTCCACGGTGTGTTCCACCGTGTCCTCCGGTCCATCCTCGCAGTGGGAGCACCCGGGCGTTTCCTCCCGCCCGATTCGGTGCAGGAACCTCCCGAACACACCGTGTCCGGTGAGGACCTGAGTCAGGCGGAAGGTGAGGATGCCGTGGCGTCTCTCAAGCCACTCCTCAAAGAGGGGTCTTATCGCCGCTATAGTGGCGTGCCCAGCACGGGGTTGCGACAGTCGCTCTCTCCATGTCGCCATGAGATCGTGCCGGAAGTCTGTCCGCTGCGCGACAACTTGCCGCGGCAGCGGGGTTTCCCCCCGGCATAGTGCCTCCGCGCGCCATTCGTGCAGGCGTGCGAGGACTACCGCCTCCAGATCCCATGGCGGCAATCCGGCAAGGAGGCTCGCCGCCTCGCGGGAGATCGTGCGGTAGCCGCGAACCATTTTCACGGCGACCACCCTTTGGGGCGCGTTCAGGTGGTGGACGGCAAGCCGCGCCAAACCACGCGCCCACACCGGGGCCCCGTAAAGGGCCATGGATCGCACGATCCCCGCGTAGAGCCTCCGGCAGGAGGCGTTTGGCCCCCCAGGTTCGGCATGAGTCGCCTGAAGGCAGCCCCGGTCCGTTCCAGTTTGGGAGCCAAACGTCGGAAGTGCTCAACGAAGTTCCATCGGCCGTCGAGGACGAGTCCTAGGTACTTCAGTGTCGACTCGACGCCGATGGATACCCCTCCTACCATTACTGAGGATCCCGGTGGTGGCCTGTTCCGAGGACCATGGAAGTGCATGGCCTCGGACTTGTGCAGAGCCACCTCGAGACCCAGTTGCCGAATCCTCTCAACGACTATCGCAACCCCGCGTGTCATAGTTTCCGCCGCCGCCTCGTACGACCCCCCCTTGTCGTCAGCGTAGCAAATTACGCTGACGCCGGTAGGGAGGTCGGCGCGCAGCACCCAGTCATAACCGATGTTCCACAGAGGTGGCCCCAGAACCGAACCCTGTGGGACACCGCACGACATCTCTCGCCGGTTCCACTCACCGTTGCGACCGGGGTAGATGACGGCCCTGTCCGTCAGATAGTCCCCGACTATACGACGGAGATAGGTCGGCACCCGGTGATACCGGAGTGCCTCCCTAATGCAGCTCCAGGGCATGGAGTTGAAGGCGTTGGCGATGTCGAGAGACACCGCCAAGACAACCCCCCCTCTGGCCACTGCATCCCCCGTCGTGAGGGCTCTCACGCGCATGATGGCGTCCACCGTAGAGCGCCTCTTACGGAAACCAAACTGGTGTTCCGCAAGATCCGGCCGTCCGTTGCAGCCTACGTCCTACTCCTGGGCACAGGCCTCCTCTCATTTCTGAGAGAGTGTTAGCACAAGGAAAATTTCACATATCTTCGAAATATTTTTTTTATTATTTCTCAGATATGCAGGTTTCCTCACGATGTTTCCCTTCACCGCCGAGCACGTGGTAAATCAGCACTTAAAATCGCATTTAACAATTACATTGGTGCCGGCGAGGATTGAACACGGTTTATTCGCGTACTGTGAAATTTACAGCGAGCGCTAACCATCTGACCTACCACGCTGAGCTGATTATATATAATAATCATTGCATTAAAAACGCTGTACTACGTAGTACTATTACTTATTCTAAGGCTATACTTATATAGGTAGTTAAGTTGGTGCATTCAAGAAAATGCTACTCCAGCAGTATATTGAAATTGGCGCCATGAAATATTGCTAAGTCTAAATTTTAAAATATTTAAAAAAAAACACATTGATTATATCACCAAAACCTCTTCATGTAGGCGGTTAACCAAGCTCAACAAAGTAAATATTACAACGCTATATTAATTTGCGTTTTCCTTATACAAGTTGCAAAGAAAAATAGTAGATTTTTGAACAAACGAAAACTCTTTGTTTTAACTTATTACTTTTGGAATACTGTCGAATATTCGAGAATTGGTTCCATTGTTAAATAACAATACAGGGGGTACTGTTATTTTTCTCACAGTATCTTTTCTAAGTTTTATTACTCTCTACTCGTGCACTTGTTTGAATTCGGCTTAAAATCACTGCTAGCATTGACGTTATAGTTTGTTTTTTAGATGGGTCACGTTTTTGATAGTATATTGTTCACATCAGACACCTTTTTCACTATTGTATACTGAAAGCGGCGGCTACATATGGTGATTGTACCATTTGTTAACTAGATATTGTCTGTGTGCAGGTTGTTTCTATTTGTACCTATGTATGAATTCTACTCGAAATCACTGGTAGCATTGAATAGCTAAATGTAGCATACATTTAGTATTATTGAGAGTGGTAACGTTTTTCACGGATTTCAAAAAAGTAGGGGTATACAATTATACTATATTATGTTTGTTCATATGATGTTGTTTGTATGAAGACCCTTATTCTATATTAAAAATGTATGTAACGAGATTTAGCGTGTAGTGTCGGTGTAAGAATATCCACTATCTTATATCGTCCCGTGGGTGTTGCATGTTGCGACAGAGGAAAACAAACCATGCTATATATGCAAAAATAGCAGCTTAATGCTGCTTTGTTGTGTGTGTGTGTGTGTGTGTGTGTGTGTGTGTGTGGTGCGTGTGCGTGTGCGTGTGCGTGTGCGTGTGCGTGTGCGTGTGCGTGTGCGTGTGCGTGTGCGTGTGCGTGTGCGTGTGCGTGTGCGTGTGGTGTGCGTGTGCGTGTGCGTGTGCGTGTGCGTGTGTGTGTGTGGGTGTGTGTGTGTGTGTGTGTGTGTGTGTGTGTGTGTGTGTGTGTGTGTGTGTGTGTGTTGAGAAAAGAGGCATTCCATCTTACTCCTGACGGCTGACAAGATTGAGTTATACAAAACATAAATCAATGGCTGACAACGTATCTGCATTTTGATTCGCAAACGAGGATCGATGTAGATATCTATGGACCAGAGCTACTACTTACCATCAGGTAGACTGTGTGCTCGTTAGTCACCATCATCCTAAAAAAAAGCAATTAATGAATAAAAGCAGCGATTGCCAATCCGCTTGACGTAGCAGTTTTGACAAACATCACCCTTCTATAGGGAGTCTATAGTCCCTTCTATAGGGAATCTATAGGGATGTGTATGTTTCTGTAACGGTAACGGTGACGTTACGCGATACCTTCGTCAATTGTGAAACGATATCGTTAATCCTTCTGGGGTGATCCCATATAAATTTGGAGAAAATATTAAATCCCTAAGGGTAGCAAAATAAGGGTATGAAGTATTTAATGTAACTATTTAGATGAAATGAGATTGTAATATTTCTCAGAACAATGGCGGATTGACGGTCAGAGTACTAGATGTCGCGGAACTTTGACATTTCCTCACCACTGGTCTGGGTATTTTACATGTAATATAAATACACGATGTTTACACCCATAGGATACTATAATACATACATAATAGAACGGGGGGAGTGGACGGAGCCCGTGTAGCCACTAAAATGTCAATGTCAACACGAGATGTGTTTTGACGTAACAATCGCATCCAAATTTCGCATGCAAATTATTTAGAAAATACCAAATTGCACACTATTTACATATAAATATATGTATTAAAATTTTGTAAAATGTGTAAATTTACTCAGTCTGAATCGGGTACGTAGTAGTGATAATACGACGTATATTGCTTGTATGTGTGCTCCTGACGACGCCGAATCTCGTACAAAATAAGTTTGACAGCTATTCTATTGTATATTATAGTATTCTGTGGTTACACCATTCTGTTAAAGCTCATGATGTCGTTTTTTATGACACTTGTAGGACAAGGAATTTTTTAAGTCACCACCGCACAGCGAACAATATAGGCACTAACCGTATGTGAAATTTATTGTAAATGCTGTGCAAATCATTAGGTTATTTGTGTTGACTTATATGTCACTGGCTTATAACAAATGCCAAAACCAACGCTTGAGTTTTTGTATTACCAAATACAAAAACTCAAGAAAATATATAACTGTCTGAAATATTTGTACCTACCTTTATAATTCGTTTCTCCGGATCACTGTATGAGAGAGATCTTATGCGTTTCTTAAACGGTATCGGAAACTCCTTTACTCTCTGATGGAACACCATCTTCCTGTGTACTGTGTCCCCAATAATCATATCGTAACAAACCACCACACTGCACACCAGTAAACTTATCAAAAATAGCAATATTAACCGCATACCGGTAACATTTCACCAAATTACAATAAACAGACGGTCATATTATGTATATTTCTTGCTCACTCAACGAATGACCGACGGCAAGTGACCAACGTAATGCAATGAGCGATAACCTCGACACGCGATAGTAAACTAACATAACTAAGTAAACAGAAATAACTAACTAACAACTCTGTATCCTTCGCACAGTTTAAATGATTCGCTAAAATATTTCGGCACTCGTAAATTAATTACACGATAATATTCATATTTCATAAACAAATGTTTATACAACCGTGTGATAGTTAGTTAATTGATTGATAAGTTTGTTTGTCCGTCCGGCTGTTGTTTTTGGAAAACAATGGTCAATGTTGACCATTGTGTTCTGTTATAGTATGATACATTGTAAACAATATAATTAGTTACTGAAAATAGCTTATGTTTGTATTAAATTAATCCATATTGGATGATTTTACTTGGCACTATCTATTACATCTGCTGACAGGTTTGGATTGATTAATTAATACATACTACGATCAGCATATTTTTTGCGATAAATTGAATATTACATATATGTAGTACATAATATATTTTATTACCTTGACTGGTAAATGAGAGATAATAATTTATTTTTCTGAAAGTGTGTGCTGTTGGCCCTCCAGTCTTTACAGCTTCATCAAAATAGACTTGTGAGCGAGAACTCACGAGTTGTTGAGTGCAACGATACTGCTGGAAGTTCCGAGGCACCCGCGCCCCTGCTTTTGGAGTGAGGCTCCTCTAGCTAGGTGCAGGCTCGACGTCATTCAAGGGCCTGAAGAAGGTACGAACCTCAGCTTGAACCACTATCGCAATGTGGGGTAGAGAGAGAGAGAGAGAGAGAGAGAGAGAAGGAGAATAAAATAAAGTAACGGATTATATACATTCTACGTAACATATTATTGGGCGAAGGCCTCCTCTCTTTCCTATGAGGAAGAGGAGAAAGAGAGAGAGAGAGAGAGAGAGAGAGAGAAATAGAGAAGAAGGGATAGGGAGAATGTGAGTCTCAGTAGGGAGTAGGGAGAACAATCTGATTCTAACCAGGTTTTCTTACGATAGTTCTCTTCATCACCAAGCAGGTAGTTAATCTCATACTTGCAAATTACAATTTCTGTGGAGACGGTGGGGGTTGAGTTACACCGATAGTTAAAGGAAATCGCTTAGGTTCCTTGACTCAAAAACAAATTGAAGGGGACCACTCCACTCCATGACATATTTTGCAGGTTATCAGATACGTCAAAGATTACTAAAAAGATAATATAATGAGATTAATTCTGAGATGGTTTTACAACATCTGATAGATAATAAGATTCTGAAAATATTTCGCAAAGTCTATTTTTACGAAATCATCAATCTAAATAAAATGCCATAAACGATTCTCTTGCGAAAACCCGGTTGTGCCTCATTCACTAAAATTAATCAAGTAGGTAATTTCAATACATTGAGATAAATCGAAAATACCTACGTAAATACATATATTTAACTTTTTTTTTTAAGTGAGAACATAAGAAATATTTTCCGACGTTATAAGCTAAATAAAAAAAAGTCTAAACCGTTTTAAGCCGTTTCAAAATGAAGTTCCTGTAACACAAAAAACATTGCTTATATAAAATTAAAAGAAATATATCCATAATACTTAATGTCCATTATTGGAAATGGGCCAAAGTAGGACGAATTTGCCTTTATCGTCATGTTTGGCAAGCTGCTTGAGGATCGATTAGCATAAAAAATTTTAATAAACAAGCTATGATTACAATCCTTTCAAATTGCAGCCTACACTCGGCTAATATTTTACTATGACCGTAGTAGCTATTGATGTGTACAATACTGCGGCCATAGTAAATTTTTATGAATATCGCAAACTGCGATGCCGGAATAATTTATTTTTCACTTCACATTTTTCCTGAGGACAGCATGATTAATGGCTTGTCACTCAGAAGCTGGCAGGAAAATTTGAAAACTTTTCCGTAACAAAGCTGCAATTTTTAGTAAAGTTAAAAGTTAAAACAATGCTTCGAATACGAAGGTGTAAAAAAGTTTCAATAATAACTTTGATTTTGTCATGTGGTAGCGGTGTGCACTACCCTACAACATCTGTCATAAGAGACAGAGTTAAACTGAAACACCATCTTCCTGATAACTGCTCAAAGTAATAAAAAAATAGGTGTCAACTCGTCAAGCTGGACAGCTATGGCAAAGTATGGGGGGGGGGGGCATATGAGACAATCTATGATGGAGGCCTAAGTTCAGCAGTTGACTTTTATAGGCTACAATGGATAATGGTAAGTACAGACGTGCTCGAAAAAAAGTATGCTCATAGGCTTGCTCAAAATGAGCATGCTCTGCAACTGTTCACATTTGCCAGCAATAAGCTCGTTTGAACCATGGAGACGAGCTATTTGGCCTAAGTTATTCGCCTCAACGCGACAAATCGAGTTTTTTTTTAAATTTCAAATTGACGCAGCAACTGTCGCGAATCGAGATCGATTCGATAAAACATGCTGTGAGCAGTCCCGTTCAGTTCAGACGCACTCGGTACACGCCCTTCTATCCACGCCTCGGATAGCATGCTCAAAAATTAAATGTAGGTAGTTTTTTGAGCATGCTCAAAATAAGCATGCTCGTTATTAGCAATGTTGCGACACACGTGCTACTAATGAGCACTTGCCACATAAAAGTATGCTTTCGTGCTAGTAATGAGCACGCCTGTCCGTACTTTAACTGTAATTGAAAAAGGAATACCTAACATAACCGCGGTCTGTTACTGTGTTAAAGCAACTTATTATGATGAATTCATCGATACCAACCTGCAAAAACTGTTGGTACAATATAGTATTTATTAACGTGTGTTGTTTAGTGTACAAAACATGGGTAGGTTAAGTGTAAATGCGTACTTTAATACGTAAGTTGAGCAAAGAGTTACAGAGAGTATTAGAAATGCATATCTATAATAATTAAAAAAATATTTATAATATTTAGCCCATCTTTGCTAGGTCCGTTGAAGTTATGATGGAAATGGGTGGTGAGGTTTCGTTCTTGTATAAAACTCTTCTCTCTCTTTTATTAAATTGGGTTAACTTGCCGTGAAGGGTTTACTTGGTACAGGCAGGCGGATCCGCGATCGCTCTGCCTACTGTCGGTTAAATCTTATTTGAACAAGTGGTAAAAATAATATTTGTTTTATATACGACCGAATCAATGAATTCGAAGTCAATTAAATACGCATTATTATAGATAACTCGAAAACTACTGATCAGATCTTGATAAAATTTATATGGAACCACACAAGAAGCACCAGCTTTCAGATAAAAAAAAATCATCAAAAGTGGTTCACCCAGAGAAAAGTTGAGGTAACATAAAAAAAAACATACAGTTGAATTGAATACCTCCTCCTTTTGGAAGTCGGTAAAAAAGAATATAGAAATTAACACAAGAAAATACAAGCATTTGTTCTTTCTCTTTATTTTTTCTACAACTTGAATTCTTGGAGAAGTTCAAAAACTATTAAAAAGTTTAGTCGTAGAAATAGTATTTAAACAAAATTATTCACAAACCCAAAAAAAAAAGCTTGTGTCTAGTCATGGACTGTTTAAGATTTATGGTGATTATTTCACAATTGTGGAATAATATCATTGATGTAGTATTATAGTGTAATCTCTTTTAAAACTTTATTTTACAGATCGTATTATGAATATGTTAACATTAGATAGAATAGTAAGTGCGGTGTAGAGGGAAAGGGTTAAATAATGGTTTTAATTTAGATTTATCACGTACATTTCCACTTCCCCTAGGTGTAGGCATATTATGGCAACAATTTCTGGGGAAGTATCATTTTCCTTAATAAAAATTTATTGACGCCTATTTGAGCAATAATCCAACATATATTTTATAAAATAGCATAGCAAATTTGTTTTAAGTGGTGTATGATGCTTAAAAACTCGTAGGAAATAAAATTTAAAAGACCGCGCACATAATGTTTTCTTAAACTCGCCGGAATTCACCGTTACCAGAGGTTATTATCATCCATAAATTCCTTAATATTATAATAACGCTTTTTATACAAATTTAGTTTAATAAAGTTTTTGAACTTTGTGTAGATCAAATTTTGTATATATTCTAGGACGTTGTTGTAAAAGTGAAGTCGAGTAACTGGTAGCGTGAGTCTGTTTCTAGTATTTACAGAATGAATATCACTTATCTCTGTAAAACTACTTTTTCGTTATTCACACGTGATTATAAATGAGATGTATTTCTGTATAAATAAAATACAAGTGTTCAATTGGAATAACATTTTAAAACAAAAGTACAATACTCCTTCGTTTAGCTTAAATATATCACACGAACCGTAAAAAAGTATCCGTCGCAAGCAGTCACGGCTTCACTTTATTTAATGTATCTAAGGCAATCGCAAACGATATTTTGCTTAGTTTTTCAATTATAAATACAACATTTGAGCATTTACACGTAGGACAAACATATGAGCATTTACACGTAGGACATTAAAGGTTTATGTTAATATTGATGTAGTTAATTTTTTTTAACATTTTGTGTTTTGAAAACAATGCTGCAGCTAGAATAGGAAAAATGTATACTGTATTCTATCTCATTCTCTCGCAGGTACATCTTATAGATGTATATTATGTTTGTCTCTTTTTACTGTCGCTTTTTCGTTTCATCGAGTTTCAAATCACAACGATTCTAAAGTAGTTTTACTTCAAACAAATGGTAAAATAAAAAAAATATACAACCCACTTCAATATAAATAAAATGAGAACATCATCAATGTAGTCGAAGTCAACTTAAAAACTACTGGTCAGATCTTGATCAAATTTATAAAGGGTCACATGGAAAGCACCAGCCTTTAAATATAAAAATAATCATCATAATCGGTTCACCTAGAAAAAAGTTCTGAGGTAACCACA